TTTCCCTATCCTTAAAAATGTAAATGGTCTGAGATGAATTATGTTTTCTGCTCCTATTTGTTCTATTAACTTACTGTAATGTGAGAGAACTTGCCTCATCTTGTGTTTCAGTTTCAGCCATCATATAGATACAGGTGGCCAAGCTGGAGCAGAAGTACTCCAGTACTTGTGTACCATGAAGACATTGCCCAAAATGTTTCATTTATTACAGCTTTGGTTTTCCTGTATCAAAAACTTAGTTGGCACATTTCTCTCAGAAATCATTTCTGCAATAAAAGTAGAGGATGAAGAGAGAATGTTTTTCCCTGGTTTTTTTTTTTTCTTCTATAACTCTGATGTATTACATGCAAAAGTGGCTATACAAGAAATTTCCTGTGGAGGCTTCACTTCTTTTTTTTTTTTTTTTATGTTTTGTTTTAAGGAATGGGTATAGAAAAACTTTCTAGGTCCGTGTAACTGAGTTTGACTTTTTTCTGTGACCTTGCAAAAAGGCCTTTTTTGACATGAAGGTGGGTTTGGGTAAAAGTGTGATCTTACATGTTAACCTTGGTTTTTTACAACCACGTACTATGGTTGAAAAACTCCTGCATGGATTGTTCCTTTTTCAGTTCTCATGGGGTGGGGGCAATCACCATCCTGCCTTTATCATAGCCTAAGGGTAAAACTAGCTCCCCCAAAACCCTGAAACAACTGACTTCAGATTACTGTAAACTCTACATGTGTTTTAAAATACTTCAATTTTATCTTACTGGTAGAATAAAAATTAAAAATCACCGTCTGAAGTCCAGCTAGTCTTTTGACTTCATGGTGCGAGAAGAATAATATTTCTTCCTTTGGTTTTAGTTTCGAAACTAAGTATCTTCTTTTCTATCCTAGTGTACTCTTGACTCGGAAGTGGCTCTGCGAGTGGGAGGTGATTTCTTCTTTGATCCTCAGCCTGATGACCCCCCTGTAAAACTAGTGCTGATAGCAGGGGGTGTTGGAATTAACCCATTGTTTTCTATACTGCTGCATATAGCAGATCTTCATGAATATCAAGAGAGTAAAGGACATGGATACAAAATGGGAACTGTGAAGCTGTACTACAGTGCGAAAAATACAAACGAACTCTTATTTAAGGTAAATAAAAAACAAAATTAGAACTCAGCTACTCATCTGTTAGTGTGTATCATGTATCATTCTAGTGCCAAATTACAGAGGACCCTCCTGTGTAAGGTGCTGTACAAATAGAGGAAAAAGTCACTTCCTGCACCAAATCTCGTGTATTTTGTTTAATTACTTATCCCAGTATACAAATAAAGGATGTTATTGGACTTACCTGATTTTCATTGACTTTAGTGATAAGTCAGTTTGCCCTAGACGTCTACATTTTACTATCATCTCATAGTAGTATCATAGTATACTAGAGATTTTTTTTATACTATAATATGTGTATATATATACCCACATTAATAGTATATGCAATGTTATATGATATAATACTATAACCACATCATCTCAGTACACATTATATTGAATTTAAAGACTAGCAAGAGCAATTATACCTAAAGGAAATACTTTCTAAAATCGTAGGGGAGCTTTGCTGATAAATACGCTAGTTATTATAGGGTGCTAGTATATGAATGAAAGTTGTATAAGCTGTTCTTGTAAAATTGTTTGTAATAGTAACTCCATCAACCTTTACAGAGCAGTGAAAGATCAGCTGGCACACACTCAGCCAGTAAAGGTCACTGATAACATTTTAGGGTCAAATTAGCACATCTTCTGTAAAGAGGGATCCTTAATGATTTAGGTTTCCTTGAAAAATTGAAGGCTTTTAATTGTAAGATATTGAGGAAAATACGCAAAGTTGAAAGATGAAAATTCATATTGATTCCAGAAACTGTATATATTGTGACAAAGGGTGGTTTGGCTTACAGTACCCATCAGTATTTTTTTTTCCCTGTATTTCTACCAGATTACTAGAAATGAAAATACTTCCTTTCTTTGAAAAGCCATTTGTTAGTCACTAAAGGCAGCACAATAAACTGGAACCTATCAGCTACTAGTCACCCAGTCTGTTCTAAGCATGCACAATTCATATTTGGCACAGGCACCAGTATTTACTGAAAATTCCACTTCAGCAGTGTTATGACAGCAGAGCTTTTGTACTAGAGCTTCTGGAACGGAGAGAGCACAATGATACATTCCAATGTTTAAAATATTTCATGCCCCTTTTTCTTCACATTTCCCTTGTATCCAGAACACATACATGAAAAATTCTTTATCTCTGTGCCCAGAATTGGGGAAATAGGATCACTAGAGGCCTTATGTTGTTGTGAGCTACATCTGTATAAAGCTCTGTGAGGAATGGGGCTAGACTCTTTTCAGTGGTGCCTAGCGATAGGATGAGAGGCAGCAGGCACAAACTGAAACACAGGGAGGTCTGTCTGAATATAAGGAGAAACTTCTTTGCTGTGAGGGTAACAGAGCACTGGAACAGGCTGCCAAGAGAGGTGATGGAGTCTCCATCCTTGGAGATACTCAAAAGCTCTCTGGACAAAGTCCTGGGCAACAAGCTCTAGGTGACCCTGTTTGAACAGGGGGGTTGGACTAACTGATTTCCAGAGGTCCCTTCCAACCTCAGCCATTCTGTGATTCTGTGAACTGCTAGTGGTTTGGAGGACCTGTTCCCTCAAGAAGCAGCTACTTATCCTGCAGCCCTTCATCTTTGCTAGCCTAGTGTAATTGGTCCAGTAGAAGCATACAGTATTAGAATAGAATTACACAGGATGGCATACTAACTTAGCTACTGCAAGATGCCGGTTAACTGGGTTTTCCTCATTTCATTAGGTCTGGATGTAACCCTCATTTCCTTATTTTGGCTAGAACGCTGGGAAGACAGCTTTCCCCGTAGATCTCTGTTGCTTAGCTGTCTGCTTCATTTTGTATGCTAACTTGCTAGGCTGCAAAGATCCTGCTGGGCTGTTCAAATTTTGCTTCATTCAGTTAAAAAGAGTGTGTGCCTTGCCATAGGATACTGGAAAACAGTACTGTGGTGTTTCAAGTCATGTATGTGATACCTGCTGCTTTCTGTCCCTGTCACTGAATTGTACAGTGACAGTTTACAAGCAGGTGCTGTGGGTGACTGAAGGATTATGTAAACAGATTAAGACTCACCATAAAACTAGTTAAGCCCTCTTTCTAGTTAGATCATAGGATTTCAAATCAATAGGACATAATTTGTTTCAGAAGCGCTATCAAATTATGTATGGTTCCATATGAATGGGACAGAATTTTACAGTCACATTTGAAACAGTGAAAAAGGGGCCAGTATTAGAGGTACTAGTGGAGTGGTATAAGGCAGTGTCTCTCTTTACTGTTCTTTATTCCAAATCAAAAACATCTTTGTATATTAAGTTGAATCTGTCTTGTTCTTTTTTTGTTAGCAACCCATGGCACACTGTTCAATTTAGCAGACCAGTTAGTAAACACAGACATAGAACAAGATGAGCTAATTTACATGTTCACAGAATAGAACTTACTTGTATTTCAGAATGTTTTAAGAATCTCCCCCAGTATCCTTTCCAGCAATGAAAATCCCAAGTAGCACAGAATCTAGACAGTAAATAACGCAATTAGTTATGAAACTAAACTTTAGCATCTGACTGAGGGATTTTTCATTCTGATTTGAACTGAAGCCACTGGATTTTTTGGTGGTAACCAAATATGGATGGTGGTAATTCACAGTTGTGAATTAGGGAACTGAAAATTACAGAGTTCTTACTCTGGTAAAAATAATGTTAACATTACACTGTAGTTGGTTTTACTTGGGAGAAGAAAAGTGGAGTAAAGGGTCTAGTTATCTTACCAGATCACCAGCTTAGACTTGAAAACTTCCTAAAATACAGTAAATTGAAATGGTAGGTTTTTTTTTTTTTTTAAATAGAAAACCCATTTGGAAGTAGAAGGAGAAGCTGGGACAGTTTATATGGGGAAGAACCCAGGAAAGGACATAAATAGTTCTCAGATCCAAGTGTTACTAATTACAACCTATTGTAAAAACAGGAGAAAAGCACTAATAACATAGCTGGCATTGTGTCAGATGCCAGGTAGAGAACTTCTGGGTACTTGTGCTTTTAAATCAACTCCATTAAGCTCTCAGCACTGAAATGCAAGTGTTTTGGTACTCAGTAATAATCACCGGTGTTCTGGGATTGCAAGCACACATCTGCTTTGATTTAATGGACTGGGGTATAAGCAAGTGTGTTTAATATTACAGAAAAATATTCTTGGTTTGATGAATGCATTTCCTGGAAAGATCACATGTCGTTTCCACGTTACCCAACAGAGTTCACAGATCTGTAAAGAAATTCAGCCATATGTCACAGGTAAATATAATGACAATGCATAGAAGTTTCTAAAGTGTCAATTTTGGTAGCATTCTAGAGGATGAAGGTTAACATAGTTATGTCTAGCATATGTTCATATGCATAATTTAATATCTTTAAATGTAAAGATTCAAAATAAGATGTGAGTCAGGTGCATAAATGAGAATGTTTGTATATGAAAAGCCTAAATATTTTCATTGTACATATTACGCTTTGGAGAAAAACTATACTTTTGTAACTTTTCATTTGTACTGAACCTCCAGTTGTACCGAATTTGTACTGTTAAATACTCATATAAAGTTTAGAATTTCCACTGCAAATTTTTGTTCCAAAAGCTAGTATTTCCTGTCTAGATTTACTGCTTCAAGCAGGACTGATGAAGGATAAATTGACAGCATGTAAGAGATACTTTGTTATGATTCCATTTTTGTTGTATTTGGATTAGAGATACTTACCTATTTTTTTCATCTGAATGTGGGATTTTTGGTTGTATGTAAGCTGTGTTCCTGTTAAATGTCTAATATCCCATGCATTCCAACTGGAGGTACTCCTAAATTCCTAGAAGACGACTTTTGAAAGCCTGAAACCTTGATACCTATCCTTCAATAAGTCTGACATTTTTAAGAAATGAGTACGTGAAGTAACCCTAACCAGTTGTTCTTTCTGAAATTATTTCATGATTAAATGTTTCTTTTCTCACTTATTTCTTTTTTAGAGGGAAGAATATCTGAAGAAGATCTAGAAAAACACGTATCTAAGGATACTTTATGGTACATCTGTGGTCCTCCTCCAATGATAGAATCTATATCCAAACTACTAGCAAATATTGGTGTTTCTAGAGACTGTGTTTTCTTTGAGAAATGGTGGTAGTGAGAGCTGTTGAACAGAAAGTATATTATTTTCAATTTATTTTGATAAGTTAAAATGTACAGAAAATGGACTATGAATTAATTGGAAGATTTCACCCTATACCTGAAGCCATCCTGAATCATGATGGTGTTCCCTAGATTTAACTATAATGTATCTTTAATACAGTGCTGCTACTTTGGGCAAAAAAAAAAAAAAAAAGTGATTTTATATTAAAGACATTAACTCTTCTGGTTTTTGGATGGTGTGCTTACTTGTAATGGATAGCAGTGTATTTTCACTTTGTCCACCTGTTTTATTAGTCAGCTTTAAAAAGACTTTCAGAGCCCAGTTTATTAGTTGTGGAGAGTTAGATGTACAGCAGTGATGAGTCAGTTAAAAAAAAAAAAAAATAAAAGCCACAACTTCTGAAGCTGCTCCAAATTGTGCTAATGAGTTGGTACACTACCTTCCACGCTTCTAGATATTAAAGTGTAGGGTTGTTGTGTTATGACTTCCGGCACCTGCCACTTCTTGTTAAAAGAAAAAAAGCCTTTTATGTGGTTTGTTCTTTAAGTCATTGTCAACTGTGTTGACGAGAAAAGAATCTTTTAATAATCAGACTTGAATTAAAAATACTGATGCGTTAAAAATCTCTGTCAGCCTCTGCTGCTAGAGAGTGTTGTGCAGAGTTATTAATGTGAACCTGCCTGCTGTGCCTGGGCTGAGGCAGCTCACCCAGCTGATGCATGTTCCCTGCATGTCCTCAAAAACAGCAAAGACCAGCAACAGCTGAAACAGGGAATCTTGTGAATCCTGCTCAGTACTGAGTTCTAGCATGTTCCAGGTTTGTGTGGGAAACCATCTCTAGGAAGTCTGATCTCTCAAGGTACAAGCGAGCATCTAGGTGTCTGATACCTAAGCCCTTCTTGAAAAGATTGGGTTTGTTCCCCAGCTTGTAGAAAAATAGAAATGTGGAGAATAACAAAAAGCCACAATGAGAGAGAATTAAATTGTATAAAAAGTCCAAGTCCTTATGTAGTAGAGACTTCCAATGTACACTTGAAGACCTCAGAAAAAGGAATGTTTAAATTATTAAAACTACTAAATGAGTATTACATTATTTAAAAATGTTAAACAGATGAGGTCTTCTCTTTGTTAATGGCTCTTTTCCTTAAATTAAGTGTGTTTCAGGTAATAGTCAAATAGATAATGCAACAAGTTTCCTGCTGTCAGTGCCCCTCTACTCTATTAAAACTAAGGTTGCAAAAGCATCACTACCCTGGTTTTCAGCCTACAGCAGCACTGTTGGTGGCAAGAGCTTAACAATTTTCCAAGGATCCCTTCCCTCTGCTTGGATAAAAAGGGTACCACTCCGGCTTTAGTTTGCTCTCTTAAGAAGTTATTTTGACTTGAATATGCTAAGGCCAGCCACTCTTAATCTCTTTTTATCCCTTTAATATTGTTAGAGTCTCAAGGCAGAGTTTACAACTTGGGGCTTGCAGGCCACCTGCTGCCACATCTATATTCATCTAATCGTTGAAAAAAATAGCGTGATAGCCTAACTGAGAAACTCCTAGCCCTTGCTTTGGGTGCAGCATGGGGGATCTCATTAGTAATTGCTGCAGGAGATGATCATCTGAATAGACAACAAGTTGAAATAATCCTAAGGATCTTCAGCAAACAGCTTCAAAAAGAAAAACCCTTACTTAACTGCAATTCACAGCAAACAACTGAAACAAGGTTGTATATTGGATCATGAAGAGGTGAACTCCTAATGATGGCCCTTAAATTTGCCTCAGGCTTTTGGGGACAATACAGCACTGAGGGTTTGCCCGTAGGGAGTCATCTCCTGGTGCCCACAGCCTCGTGTTTCGGTGTCTGTACTATACGACACTAGGTGCCTGCTCACGTTACTTGCGTACTCAACAGTCAT